TGGGGACAGAGCCAAAAAAAACCCAAAAAAACCCAAGCAAACAAACAAACAAAAACACCCAAAAGGCTGTATGTCCTAGCTTTGCTGTTTGCAAATAAAAACAGAGAGAAGCAAAATGTGAGCTTTTCTAGGAGAGGTGAGAAGGAAAATTGACCCTGAATTTTCTGGTGCAGGAGTGCACTGGAAACATGGAACTTGGCTGGCTGGGGCGGCCCCCAGTGGCGAGTCTGTGGAGCTACATCAAGAACCCGGCGAGGCCCTGCAGAGCGGGAGCCTGCGGGATGGTCGGGAGTAGAGAGCGCACAAAGAGCAGGGCTCTTCACTCCAGAGCGCCAGCCAGAGCTGCCGGAGTTGACTCAGAATAGTCAGGGCCAGGTGCGCGCATGGACAGCCTCCTCCAAGGTGAGACAGAAGGCCCTTAAAATAACCATGTTTCTGGGACCAGCAGTTAGCGTAATGGCTATGTTGCTGGGCTCCCACGTAGTGAACCGCGGTTCGCGTCCCGGACCTGGTGGGTTAAACTCACGCCAGGCATGTGCGTGCATGCCCAAGATCCCGAGGATAATGGAGGAGAGGGGATTGCGGCGTGGCCATCCCCCCTGGGGGGTGATTTCTCGCTTTCTTTCTCTCTGTCTCTCTCTCTCTGTCTGGCAAGCGCACACACCCTATAGCAAAAACCTCTCCAAAAAAATAATAACAATAATAACAATGATAACCATGTTTCCAAACAGACCTGGCCAGCGACGACAGCTCCCCGACCCCAGCAAGGTGCAATGGCCTCGGTCTAAAGCTGGAAAGCAGACCAGCACGGGCCAGCACAGACTGGAGGTTAAGGCAGCTGCATCCCACGGTGCCTGCTGTGGTTCAAACCCTGGACGTGGAGTATGCATGCCCCAAGTCCCAAAAGCCAAAAGCAGAATGAAAAGAGGTTGCCACGTGGTCATTTCCCTGGGGGGGGGTCTCACTTTCCCTCCCTTTCTATCTGTTTCTCTCTCTCTCTCTTTTTTTAGAGGTTTTTGCTATAGGGTGTGTGCGCTCGCCAGACAGAGAGAGACAGAGAGACAGAAAGTGAGAAATCACCCCCCAGGGGGATGGCCACCCCACAATCCCTTCTCCTCCATTCTCCTCTCAGGATCTTGGGCACGCACCCACATGCGCCCAGCATGAGTTTTAAGCCACCGGGTCCGGGACGCGAACCCTGGTTGACTACGTGGGAGTCCAGCGACATAGCCATTACGTTAACTGCTGGTCCCTTTATCTGTTTCTCTGGGCGAGTGCATATGCCTTATGGCCAAAATCTAAAAACAAAATAAAACCATACTCCTGAGGTCAGATGTCGGAGCCACCTCTTCTGGACGGTGGTTTGCAGTGGGAATGCTCCTCCCCGTGGGGACACTCCCACTCAGGGTTAAAAACCCACGCATGTGTCTGGCTCGGGGAAGCACTGGGGCACCATGGGTGAGACGGCTGCATTAGGAGCACAGCCTTGTGGGGCCAGCGTCCCGCACCAGGGGACTGGCCTCCACGCAGCAGCTGGCGACCTGTGATGGCGTGGGCTCGGTGTGTGAGGGGTGCGCCTGGCAGGCAAGCTAGCATCCGCTAAGCACCTGCTACGGGCCAGGACCTGAGCAGAGAGACTCGGCGTGCCCCGCTGCAGGTCCCGACAGTCCCACGGTGACCCTGCAGAGCCTCACACATGTGCAAGCCGCCTGCCTCAGCTCACCTGGTACCCCAGCCTGAGCTCCTGCTGCCAGCCCTTGGCTTTCTTAGCAGGGTTCAAGCCAAGTGGCCTAATACAGGGGAACGCCCTTTAGTTTTACAAAGGGAGGCCTAACCCATGGGACAGGGACTTTGAGCTAGTCAGCCCCAGGTTCTGGCCTGGGCAGGTTCATGTGCAGGGCAGTAGGGGCTGTCCACTGCCTTGGTGTCCCCAGGAGATGTGGCGGGCACGTGCACCGGCAAGTGGCAGACCCTCCCAACATGAACCGCCACTCTAGGCTGGCCCGCGCTGTGACTGCTGGCCCAGATAGGCCATCTCTGCTGTTCTGATGGAGCTGGGACAGCCTCTTGTGCTTTTTTTAAGAGAGAGAGTTTTGCTATAGGGTGCCTGTGCTTGCTGGAGAGACAGAGAGAGGAAGAACGTGTCCCCTGGGGGGTGGCCACGCCGCATCCCTTCTCCTTCATTCTCCTCTCAGGATTTTGGGCACGCACACACGCCAGGCACGAGTCTCAAGCAATTGGGTCTGGGACTGGAACCACAGTCAACCACATGGGAGTCCAGCACCTTAACTGCACGCCGCCCGCTGGCCCAGGGACAGCGTCTGTTGTGGTGCAGGGCACTCACCAGGACCAGCAGGCTTTTGGTGGCTGGTTGTCTAGACTCAGGGCGACTCTATCCGAGGACAAGCCGGGCGCCCAGAGAGAGCACTCGGACTCCCCGCAGAGCGGTGTGACCACAGACTCATCACCACCAGGGCCAATGCATTTCTCTCTCCCTTGCTTAAGCCAGCTCGAGCTTGAGTTCTGCCACAGGAAGGCCAGACTTGATGGGGCTTGGAGAGCAAAATCCAGATGAGAGGGAGGGGGGCAGGGCAGCCGAGGCCAGGCAGCCTCAGAGTGGCTCTGAGGGGCTGATTGTGCAACCCTCTTCCCGACTGTGCCCCAGCGGCCTGGCCTTGGGAGCTGGAACTTGGCTGTGCCGCGTGTGGCTATTGATACCATGGAAACTGGCAAACTGTTGCCGTTGTCCTCCACCAACCGCAAAGCCTGCCACTAGGCGTGCGTCAGCGTGCCACTGTCCCAGACCTGCTGCCCGCCAAACCGGGGCCCCTTCTGAAGTTCAGCAAGGCCCAGCGTCCCTGAGGAAGCTGCCGCTGCGTGGACGGGAAATGCACGCAGATGAGATGGAGTAGACCAGGCCGGCGGTCCCTGGCCTGTCGCACAGACCCGGCTGCGTGTGAGCACAGGCTGCGGACTGAAAGCAGCCCCTCTGTGCCCCGCTTCTGTCCCTTCTCAGTGTACTTTCTATTCTTCTGCCTGCTTTAGGCCCTTGGAAACAAGCGACAGAAACTTAAGTCAAACCAACTCAAGCAGACAAAGCTCCGCGAGCCCGAGGGTTGCTTGGCTGCAGGCCCAGCTGTGCTCAGGAGTGCCCGCCTCAGCTCAGCCTGGATCTGAGGACGGCGCCAGGCACGCAGGCACCTTCTCGCCCCGGAATTAGGAGGGAGAGGCCTGGAGAGCCTGAGCTGCATGTGCCTGGCGCTCTCCTCACCTCGCCCTGACCCCAGTGCTGGCCCTGGCAGGAGCAGGCCCAGTCCTCTCGGGGCCTCAGAGGCCAGCACGCCTGGCTCAGGTGCCCGGTGGGCACTGCCTGCTCAGCACAGAGGTCCCGACAGGCCAGGACGCGGGGCGGGGCGGGGTGGGCCGTCTGTGACTACAGAAATGGCGAGGAGGCCCGGGGCGCTCTGGCTGCTGAGGAGGGTGCGGCCTCTGGCTGCCTGCAGCGTGGGCGCAGAGGTGTGTGGGAGCAAGCCCCACTGCCGTCTGCCTTTGCTCTTGCAGACCGGTGGCTGGGGTCGGCAGCAGGGCGGGGCGAGCAGCGCAGGCCTGGGGTTTGTTCGTGCTGGTGTGGAGACGGCCGGGGCCTCACCCCTTCCCTCCATCCCGGGTGAGGGCACGCAGGCCTGTCTGCTCTCTCCCCGTCGTGCCCAGCATTCCTCACAGAAAGGACGTGCAGCACATCAGGGCACGTGTGGCGGGGTCTGCAGGGACCAGGCAGGGGCCGTAGAGCCCCCTCTGGCAGAGTTCATGGTGCGCAAAGCCGGCAACAGCGAGTGGGACCACGCGTCGGACGTGCCGTCTGGCAGGAGAGCTCAGGGCTGACTGGGCGCCTCTGCCCGGCACCCCTCGAATTCAGGCTCCTACAGCAAAGTGGGCCTAAGAGAGGTTCACAGTGACCTAAGAGGTGCTGGGAAAATCCCAGGTAGGGGCTGGCTCCATGGCCTGGTGGCTAAGGCAGCCAGGTCCCACATAGCCAACACTGGTTCGAATCCTGGATCTGCAGCTCAAGAAAACGCTAGGTGTGCGTGCGTGCGTTCCCCAGTCCTGAAGGGAGGGAAAGACGGAGGAGAAAGGAGAAAGGGTTGCTGCATGCCCGTGCCCACAGGCGGGGCGGTGCTCTCTCCCTCTCCCGCTGTCTCGCCCTCACTCTGTCTCTGGCAACTGCATGTGCCTTCTGGCAAAGGACGAGAGCAACCAAACAAACGAAACTGCAGGTGGGATTGAGCAGCCACCCCGGGAGGATGGCTAGGGAGACAGAGCGGCCCGAGCCTGGCGCGCCGCTGAAGGGCTGCCAGATTCCAGCCGTGGGTGTGACGGGACAGGGACATGGTAGCTCACGCGAGCCGGGCAGGCTGCTGGGCCAGCCAGGACTCGCTTCCCGGACCTCTCCACCTGCCTGTCCTCATAGCCTGCGGGGCCACGTGCCCGTCAGCCAGGTCCTGCTCAGACCCACCTCCTTCCTGAGGCCCTCTCAGAACCCACCACCCCGCTCTGCCTCCTCTCCTTTCTCACAGTCCTCCTGCCTCAGTCCCCACGGGGCCCTGGGGCACTGGCCTGGAGGTGGCTGGGAATGGCACTAGGCCTCCCACGTAGTCCCCTACGTGAGACCAGCCTGGGAGCACTGTGCCCTGGCAGTCCTCTGCCCGCCGGGCCCTCTGCCTTCCTGTCCGGCATGCAAGACACACATGCTTCTGTCGGCTGTGGGACACGAACCCCGCGGGAAGGGTTTGCTTTGTGTTGGGCCTGGCCTGGCACACAGGGGGGCGTAGGCAGTGGCCGTCACTTTCCTTGTCCTCAACCTCCATGCGGTTCTCCAGGACTCTGAGCGAGCCCGCTCCCTGTCTGTGACGGCGTAAGGAAGGGTGTGTCTGCTCTCTGTGGGGCTGTGACCCCGCTCCCAGGGCTGCAGGGGACACAGGTCTCGGAGTACGCTGGCTCACCTGAGCCCTCAGCAGTGTCGTCGAACTCCACCTGGAAGAGGTAGCCGGTGTTCCAGACGTACAGGCAGGACGCGGCGTCATAGGAGACCCTGAGGGGCTTCAGCTGGGGGTCGTAGACGCTGTCCCTCCACCGAATGTCGATGGGAGACTGCCGGGTGCCCCCTGGCACGGCGACTGGGCCTGTCCAGAGGGGGTGCACTGGGGGACGGGGACGGAAGCTCCAGCTGACCCGGCACCTCAGGTGTGAGGGGAGAACCGCAGCTGCCCCAGACCCCGCAGGTCCAGACCCGGCCAGCTGAACTCCATCCCGTGCGTGGTGGCCCTTGTCCATCGCCTGCCTGGAACAGAGACTCCGCCTCGGCCCGTGTGGCCCTGTCGTCCTCACAGACTGTGGCCGCACGAGTCCAGTAGAGACCCCGGGGGCGAGTGGGCAGAGGGGTCAGGGCAGGCAGAGCGTGGTGGGCCACGGGCCCTGGGAGCAGTCGGAGGCCTCCTCCCGGGTGCCTGCGTCCAGCTGAGTGACATGTGGCAGCCAGGGCTGCTTCTAGGTCCTACCCTTTGACCCCTCCTGTGAGAAGAGGAGGGGCCCCTGAGCGAGAAAACGGCAGGGTGGCTCCTCCCTCTTTTCCCCAGGGTCATTTCAAATGTCCTGCATGTGATTTACGTATGTTATGGATGTATGTGTGCATGTGTGTTATGGATGTATGTGTGTATGTGTGTTATGGATGTATGTGTGCATGTGTGTTATGGATGTATGTGTGTATATGTGTTATGGATGTATGTGTGCAGGTGTGTTATGGATGTATGTGTGCATGTGTGTTATGGATGTATGTGTGTATGTGTGTTATGGATGTATATGTGTTATGGATGTATGTGTGTATGTGTGTTATGGATGTATGTGTGTATGTGTGTAATGGATGTATGTGTGCATGTGTGTTATGGATGTATGCGTGTATGTGTGTTATGGATGTATGCGTGTATGTGTGTTATGGATGTATGCGTGCATGTGTGTTATGGATGTATGTGTGCATGTGTGTTATGGATGTATGTGTGTATATGTGTTATGGATGTATGTGTGTATGTGTGTTATGGATGTATGTGTGCATGTGTGTTATGGATGTATGTGTGTATGTGTGTTATGTGTGTATGTATACTTTTTAACCACCAGAGTGTGCATATGCCAGAGAGGGAGAGAGAGAGAGAGAGGACGCACCCACAGTGGAGCGTGGTCACTGAAATCCTCTTCCTCTGTATCTCTCCATCCTGGTGGGATTTGGGACACCCCCCCACACACACACACACACATACACACATGGCCTGGCATGTTTTAAAAGCTACTGGGGTTAGGATTAGAACCTTAGTCAATCAAATGAGGTGCTGCCCCCTTAACCACGAGGCTGGCCCTTGAGTGCAAATTTTTTTTTTTTTTTTTGGTGGATTTTCAT